CCAGCACTTAAAAGTTCAAGCTTTCAGAATAACCCTACCTCATAAGAGCCCAAAAGTTGAAAAGTTGGGTTTTGACCGATAAGTTAAACTAGTGGTACATGCTTTCTGGACCTCACAGATCGAGAAAGCCGAGGTCCTCAACCCAGAAACCTGAACCCCTAAACTTGAAAACCCTCAACCCTTAAACCCCAAAGTTCTAAGCCCTAAACCCCGACAATCCGCTAATTGCGCTTTGGTGGTTCCGAAAATACTGATTGGTTACTGGTTTAGGGGTTTGGGGGTATAGTATGGTATAATTACACATACCGGGACTATAAAAGCATGCTGCTTAGACTGAGCGCCGCGGCAGGGACATCCAGGTCGTTAGGGGCTAGGGGAGATCGGACCTCCACTTCGTGTGCTTAGGGAGACCTTTTTGGGGTCCACAACCCTAAACCCTGAACCCTAGAACGCTAAATGCCTACACTGCCCTACACCTTATGGAGTTTAGGAGATCAGGAACTCGCTTAGAGAGGCACAAAATCTCTAACCTCTGATGCGAAAGCTGATGTGCACGCAAATTGGCCGTGCGAAGTGTAAACATTGGGCCCCTAAATCTCAGGCACTACCCAAGACACCCCTTCTTAAACCCAGAGCCAAACTTGACACCAAAGCCCTAATTGGGAGTTTCAGAGATAACAAGACCCTCATGTATCGAAAAATTCGCCTGATCCAGAAACATTGGAAGCAAAATCCCCCTAAATCAAAACTTACAACCACCGCAAAACCTACCCTAAACCCTAAACCCAACGTTCCCTTAAACCCTAAAGCCTAAGTTCTCCTACAACCCTGAACCTTGAACCCTAAACTAAACCACAGAATTTTTCAGAAAAGCTCGAACCTTTAAGCGTCCCCTAAACCCCGAAGCCGAATCCCTAAACCTCATACCTCAAACTTCCCCGTTAGCCCGACAGCCCGAAACCTCACGCAGTATAGAAGCCTTGTAACCCCTATAGTAAGTAGAGTTGAATATGTAGCCTAAACCCCTAAACCCCTAAACTCTAAACCTGAACCCCAAAACCCTAAACCCCATGGTCATGATTAAGGCGCCTTGCTGCACCTAAAAAGCCCGCATACCCTTAGACCTAAACCCAAACCCTGAAACCCTGAAGCTACCTTTGACTAATTAGTAATGGTAGTATTAGAAGCTATAATGGTACCCTATTCCTCCATTCCCTACTAACCAAAGGTAAGTAAAGCTACAGTTTAAGTTTGCACCTAACAGCCGCAGCGGCCCCAAATCTTCAAATTCCCAGCAGAATGCCTCAACCCTGAAACGTAAACATCCGTAAAACCCTAAACCCAATGCTCCGCGAGAAGGGACCCGGCCTGGTCCAGGGCACGCCTGGGTCACTGAAGCTTTTCTCTTTTCGAAGCTTCGTGTTCGACTTTCCTTTATTACTAAATGGTACATGCTATTGATATGTTTTTGCTACTATCAGTAACAGTACTGTACTATGGTTCTTACTACCATTATTGTTGTTGTTGTTGTTGTTCATTACTGGGTTGTAGTTTTGGGACTCTGAAAAGTATTTATGAATAGGTACCTCTATAGGAACCATAAGGGAAATTAAAAAGTTTCCCAAATTGCCACCTAGATTAGTGATCCTTTTGCTATTACCGTCGCTGTGCGAAAACCTATGTACGATTGCCTTTGCTGCGCCTTCTCCAAAGGCCCTTATCTTCTCCAGCCGGTGGGTTCAACAGGTTTGGGGATTCGGATAAGGAATTAATTGCACGATATGGGGGGTGAGGGTTTTTGAAATTTTTGGTTCCAGCAAGTCTGGATGGAGGCCGTGCGCGTCCTTCAGGGTTTACTAAAGCCTAGCCCTCTTAGCTCTATGTAGGTTTAAGGGCTTGTTTTGAAGGGTCTGGGGACATGTGTGTTATAGTGATTAAGGTTGAAAAACTCAGGTTATTCCATGTCGTGGGTCCTACACCCTACACTCGAAAACACTAAACTCCCCAAAAGCCTAAATCTATTGAGCCCTACACCAGCCAAGAAGTAGGTATCCCTATCAAGGTTCCGTCGCTACGGGACATTGGGGTCTCACCAGCTCGACTTGTTTTGGCTATGTTGGTGGATCCCACCCAAAGCCCGAACACCCAAGTCATAAACCCTCAACGTAAGCCTTAGTTTATGATTCCGGCATGCATTTCAATGTGGCTCCACTTAACAATGCACAATCTAAGCATGACCTGCGCATTTGCAAACCGAGTGGCTGCTGATCTCTGATCTGTTTCATCTTCTCTGCCCGCGAGGAGTACAACGATGCCGATGTTCCCTGCGCTGCATCCTGGCCAAGTTTCCCACAATCATAATCACTTATTTACCCCTATCCGCTACACCCTACACCCAAACTACTCAGTAGACCTCAAGCCTCTCTGTGGAAACAAGACCGCGCATCTCTTCAGGAATGGACCTGGGGCACTTGGAACAGAAGAGATGCGAACATGAACCCCGGAAGTATGACGCTGATTCCAAGAACAATCCGCAACATCGCAAAACCCCTTGTTTCACGAAGCCAACGAACAAGAGAGCATAATGATGTCAGGACTGTCCGGACAAAGCCTGCTTTGAAACCATGTAAGCCCCCTTTTCCTTATCGCCATCTTCTGCACCCGCTTCGGCGTCGGCTTCCTGCATCAAGTGTGCGGGAATGGAGCCCAGCAACAATGCTCAACTTGCAGTCAGTTGCCATTGTTATTGGACGCTCACTACAACAATATCTATAAACATGATACATTGGCACCACTTGCAATATTTTTGGCTAACATACTGCAAGCAATCATTGCACAACGGCAAGCCTTCCTACAGCGACCCTCACTGTCGGCTCGTCTGCCAGGCCTTTTCTTCTTCCTGGTCCTTCTCCTCTTTCTTATCCATCATGAAACGCTGATCGCTTGTGGTAGCGTAGTTGTTTGCCGTCGGAGTGATATGTGATGGAATGCATCTGCAAGTAGAAAGCTAGTTATGAGCTATGAGCTGACGGCCGCGTGCGGTTACGTGCAACTGCACATGCTCGGATGCTAGGAGCTGGGGCCAAAGCAGCCAAACTCACCTGCAACATGCAATGGGCATCTGCGAAAGAGCTTGCAACTTGGGGGTTCGTGCAAAAACTTTACCCCTGTTTTGGGCGTTTCCGAAAATGGGGGACCCAAATATCGTAATCAGTAGGATCCTGATTTTAAGGAGCCCAAACTAAGGGACCCTTTTGTTTTCGGAAACTCCCTCGTTGACCCCGTGACATCGACCTTGTCGTTTGTCCAGTGGGACTTGTGACCGCTAACATGTAAATGACCGCGCTCTTCTGTGCTCTGGCCGTCCTTTAAAACGCGTTTGGATTTCGACATGTAAGAACATGCGAATAACACTGCAAAGCGGCGCTGACAGTTGAATTGTTGCCCACATGAAACAGAAAGCAAATCAAACATCAAAGTCTGCGAGGACTGTGCGGAATAAGTGGTGTCGTTTGCTCATGCGCCGCGCTGCTACCACATAGGGCTTAATCTGCATGAAATGATACAGGTTCCTTGCAAGACATGGCCTCAACATGCACAACATGCATCGCCATTCGTCCACTCTTTAACATCATCAGCATTATCGTTCTGTCTGCTGTTATCATGGAACAAACTGGATTCCGTCTCAACTCCAGCACGGGCATACCTGAACTCCGATAGCGTTTTGTTTATGATCATCCCTCACATGGCCGTGGAATGATGTGGGCGCCTTTTTGTGTCCGCCCTGCCCCCCCCCCCCCGAAATTTTCGCCGCCCCAAATCTAACAACAAATGCTCGCGATCCTCGCTGAACGAACGGTTGCCGGAGTCATGACGACAAGCTGCTTCTGCGCGAACCTTTTTTTGCACCCTCAATGAGGCAAGCTCGAATCGTTCAATGATGGCTGGACGTACATGTTCACCTCTTTGCGGACCTGAGTGGTCGACACAAAAACGCGCTGTCTGTCATTCGCCCTGCAACTTTCCGGGCTGAAAACACTGATCTGGGTTGTAGTTGTGGGGCCCGGGCCATGAATAAACTAGATACCATTTAAAGTAACCACATGGAATACTATGCAGTTTCCCAAAGGGCCACCCAGCTGAATGGCCGCAGGGGCTTCACAGCCCTGTTTGCGGCTCGGGTTGCTTCACGATCGCTTCTGTCTTTGGGCGAGGTCATCAGAACCGAATTCAATTTTACCTGTCCTAAAAGTCTTGTAGTTGTAAAGAAAACGTTTCCATAACTCCTGAGGCCTTTAATCAAGATGTGAGATTGAGGTTGCAACACACTTGTAAGATCTCTAAAGATCTGCAGGCTTCTCACAGTGAACCTCACCCCCCGCGTTTCTTGAAACCCTTCTGCTGCGAAAACCTGAGGTCCCGCGCCGCAGACGCAGGTATGGGATGATCCCTGTCCATCTTCACCACCTGAGCATCCTACTCTGACACCGCTGAATCCCTGAAGCCCCAAATCTCCGACTCGCAAATCCATCAACCAATTCACGTTGGAAACCGCAAAGCGCTAAATTAAAATGCTAAACCCCTACATCCCTCACCCCTTGCATTCCTGTTCCCATTCTGCACTTACTACCCTCGTGCGTTCAAAAGCCCTTTGCCCAACTTGATGCCCTGAACCCTAAACCCAATGAGTTCAATACTCCCTTGATGACGTCCTTTGAAGGTTGAGGGTTTAGGACAGGGCTTCAGACTTTGGGCTATGAGGCTTAATTATGCGGTTTAGGGTTCAGGGTTTTTGTGGCAGGCTTGGATCGGGGATGTATATTAAAACTCAAGCAGCTCTAATGGACGTGTGCAGGCTTCGGAAGGGGAGCCATAATTAGACTCAAGTCGCCCTGAAGGGTCTGTGGGGGTTTTGGAAGGGCTCTATAACTTGATCAACTCCCGCGAGATTTCCACGATGTTTGCGGGGTGTCTAGGATTAACGATTTGGGGCTTCAGGGTCAGGGCAAGGTTTGAGGTGCAGGATTACAGTTTAGGGCTTGAGGGTTTAGGGTTTCTTGTTTTACTGTTTCATGTGGATGGCCGACACCCTGAACCCCAGACCCACAAACTGGAGCGGCCTCCGGATATGGCAAAGACTGCCACCGAAAGCGCATCTTGAACTGCACGACAGATGCCACCTAAGCTAGGTCTTCATGGAACCAGGGCAGTCTACTTGAATCGGATACTGCCGAGATGCCAACAAAGCAGAGGGTAACTCACAAAGACCGAACTTGCGTGGAATGGCTCACCATCCAATACCTTGCTCAACATCGACTTGACTTGAGAGGAGGGGCTGCCACGAAGCCGCTGAGCAAGGCGAGGGCAGCCGGGATGTAGCCGTCAGAGCGCTGCAGCAGTACTCCAGTCATCACGACCTAATGCCGAAATCCCTGGAAGTGGAAAGCAGATCTCTATTCGGGGATTCTTGACTTCCCTCAAATGCAGTATAAGATTCTGTTTCGGGAGGTTCTCCTTTTCGAACGAGTGCGTGTCGCAGCGACAGTCTCTCTACAGCCGCGGAAACAGCCGCATTGGCAAGACAAGTACTGGCACAAGTAGAAGCAGTGGTAGTAGAAGCGGTGGCAATTCTCTGCCTCCTCGCCCTGGCGCTACTGCTACTGCTACTGCTACTAGCCACTGCCACTGCTACTCCTCCTCCTACTACTACTACTACTACTAGTACTACTACTACTACTACTGCTGCTACTACTACTACTACTACTACTACTACTACTACTACCGAGAAGACAACGACGACCACGAGGAGGACGAGAAGGACCACGGCACCTGCTGCTGCTGTTTCACGCCACTTGCGACCCTTGATCTTGACCCCAACATACAACTTACAACCACTGAAAATATCGGCGGAGGCTCAAGAAGCGCCCTTCTAACTCCGACAAGCTGAGGCCCGCGCTGCATAGAAAACCTCGGACATTTGCAGGTGTTACTAAAGTCTTTAAGGCTATCCTTTGGAATTGTACAGGGTTTAAGTAGTACACCGAAAAGGTCAAGCACTAGCTAGGTCTATATACTGCTAAGAAGCGGCGCAGGGTTCAACCAGAAACCCCTGTACTCTCACGAGCTTTCAATCTCGCTCCTGTTGATATAGCGGCCTCAAATATCATTTTGGGGGGCTTCTTTGTGTAAGTATACTATAATATACCACCAAGCCCCATTCTAAACATTAAGGCCCGTGTATTGGTTTTGCAGGGACCGATCGTGTGGGCTTGGCGTCTAGGCCTAAGATGACTGCAGACTTTCAAAAGCACAGGGTCCGGTTAAAGGGAACTCCAGAAAGTTGGAATATGGATTAATGGTAGGATCCCCTATAATTTACCTTAAAGGGGATACGATAATGATATTCCAACTTTCTGGCTTCTACTGTAGGGTTTAGGAAGAGGAAACCTTGAAGTTACGTGGAAACGTAATGCTGTCCTACCCCAGGGTTCAGAATTCGTCTTGGGCTTGATCTTATCTTGCAATAGCTGGTCAAGTGCTCGCTGGTGAAACCCTCGACCCTGTTAATCAAGTTGGAAACCCTGTTCTCTAAACGTGCAACAACCCTGATTAGACTCCAAAGCTCTATCCCTAAAAAACCGAGCCGTAAACCCTGAACCTAACATCAATCATGCGTGAAAGGGCTAAACGACTCGAAAAACTTGCGGAAGCCCCGAATGATAGGATCAATAAATCCTAAACCCCAAACCTAAACTTAGGCCCTCAACCTAAACCGACCAGATCGCATCCGAGTGGCCATGCAGTACCTGCAATTTAGGGCCCAGGTTTGATGTTGAAGGGCTCGGGGTTGGGGGCTTGGGGTTTGAGGTTTAGGGGTTTAGGGGTTTAGGGTTTGGGGGCTTGGGGCTTAGAGTTCAAGGCTGTAGGGCTTAAGGGTTGAGTTGTCCAAAAGAATCGAAGAGCAGGGTTCAGGGTCGTGCCGCATTCCGTACGGGTTACCGGCTCAATGCATCTTGCGAACGGGTTCGGGACCGTGAAGCATTGGGATTGCAGGAGAATGGCGTCAGCGAGCACGTGTTCTAGTCTTTAAGCAAACACTGCAAGGAGCATCGCCTATTCGGGATCCTGGGCTAAGGCCCGAAGTAGGTTCTCAGCTACAGCCCAATAAGCAAGAGCCACAGCACATGGTTCTGTTGAGTCCCGGCACAACTTGACGTGATTTCTCTCTGTTTCATTTCGGATCGTCCAGCCATTCATATGCAACAAAAATATCATCCGATGCTGGTGACATTGCCCCTGCAGGTGGAGTCATTTTGTTTGTTGACATGCGGCAAGATGCAGCTGCCACACCCTGATACAAAGGGTTTAAGAACGCAGGCCTCAAGATTGAGGGCTTTAGCGTGTTAGGGTAGAGTGCCACACAGTGGTTTTCAACCTTTGCTCAAATACCTGAGAACTGCTTCCTCATCCGCCTCCATGCCACCAAGCCATGTGCCATAACGGTGTGGCATCAAGAGTCAAGGGTTTATGGGGTAATCACAAACATTTCGGGCAGCGGTTCTGGATGATGTACGTCATATTCAAGTGACAAGCAAACGACTCCCAAAGCTTGAAACACAGTCGAACCTATATGTCTTGAAGGCCCCAGAGCCTTCTTCCTTCCCTCTAGAACCCCCCTAAATCCAAACTCCTTATGAACGCGGTTCATGAGGGGTGGACATTAAGCCTTAAGCTGCAGACACAATTGTCATGTTGCCCTCAACCTGGACAAGCCGATCTGTGTAATGAGGGAGCCTTGATGATTAGATGAGAGCTTCGGGGTCCATACTAGTTTGATTCTGTAAGGGCGCTAAAGTAGGGGATGCTATTCCTTATGATTTCGACCCCTTGAAGCCGGGACCTCTACCCACCCAAGCAGTGCCGAGGCGCAGCAGCTGAGTCAAGGCCTGTACCCAGAAGACGCCCCCTAGGTCTGGCTTTCGCGTCTCCGCAAAGACCTGAGCAGGCTCTCCCTACGGATTTATTTCCTTAGCTAGAGTTCGGCAATCAGCATCACCGTCGTTACCATCTCATTACCACCACCATCATCGTTGTCATCATCGTCATCTTCGTCCACTCCATCTCCAACATGACTGCAACCGTCATCATAACGACCATTCTGACAGTTCGGCTGCCCGTTGTCCAAGTCTCTCAGTCACACATCTGGTGGAGAGCTCATCCGAGACCCCCCTAACCCAAACACTTCTCGAACCGTGCTCCTACAATGTGTATCTGAATCCGCAGGTTGTAATCTGGGCTGCCGAGAGCGAACCTTGGGCCGAGTGCGTAGACGTTTTTGGGTTGTTGGTTTGAGGGCTGGTGGCCCAAAGCCGTAAGACTAACTCGAGCGGTTCCATCCGCAGGTTCATGCATCGTAAGCTCAGCCCTGAAGCGATAAACATCCACTCCCCTAAACCCTAAACCCCTAAATCCCTAAACTCCTAATCCCTAAACCCTAAACCCCTGACGCCCTAACACCTGAACCCTGGGACGTCGACGAGGAGGTAGCCATAGGCGACCTGCTGCAGCAGGAACTTCACGAGGACGGCCAGGGAGACCAGGGGAAAAACACCTGAGTCTACGCTATGCAAAAAGAACGTGTTCCTCAGAATCTTGGGTCTGACATCTACTGGCTGGGTCCATGTTTAGCTCCCATTACTTGCTGAAACTCGCACGTTACAACAACGCTGCCTGCATCCTAATGATGCTCCAGATGTCCGCATAAGAGAATCCATTGACATAATATAGGGGCCTTAATAATTAGACTCGGGTTTTGGGGCCCATTATACTACGCATCACTATAATAAGGAACCCCCCGAAATAGTATAGGTAATTAAGGAATAAGATAGGGTTCAGGCCCCCCCTTATTGCACGGGTCCTTCGTAAGGAGATCCTAGCCATCCCCCCAGCCATCCATCCCCTGCTCAGTGTGGGACTGCTGAAGACCACTCCTGGGATGAAGAGCCGTGGGCCGCGGGAATGCTAAACTCCTAAACTACCGTTGCGATGTGCTGTGCGGCTTTGCTTGCTTGGCCTCAGCCTCAGTGGATCAATGGCTGCTCCACGGAGGCACCTACTGTGCTTCAACCCCTTATGTACCCTGCGTCCAAAGTCCCCTGAACCTTCAACTAAACCCCCGAGACCTAAAAATCTAAAACCCCAGAGCCTTACAATGCTGGAGCTAGATCCCATAATCCCATCCCAAAACCATAGACCACGAAGCCTGAACATTGACTACCACACCCCTCAAACCCTCAACCCTCCACCCTAAGTCACAAACCGCGATCACTGCAAACTCTAGATGCAACTCCGATCGCGAAGAATCTCTGCATCGAAACGCACTGGATCAAAATAGGTTCCCTTTTGCTTTCAATTTAACTAACCAGTGGTTTTGGGGGTTCCATTGGCTCTTTAGCTCCTTATTTAATAGGGACTATCATTAAGCTTTTAGGGTTCAGAAGGCAGGGATGATTTCAGATGGAGTTTTGGGAACGTGGTTTCATTACTAGGTGGGGCTGTTGAAGCCTTTGAATTGAAAAAACATTAGTAAGCAAGATCCTCTTAAGCCCAATAAGATGTCCCAAAGCCCTACCTAGTTTGTTAAGGGGGGGGGTGTAAAGCCGTCAAGTCCTGAGCCCGAAATCCTAAGACCCTTTCTGCTGCCACTGGACTCAAGTCTACTTGAAGGACCATGGGACTTAGTAACTAGGGTTATATTTCAGGTAACCATACTTATTATGACTTCTAACCCCAATATTAGGGTACTTACAACCTAACTTACTAAGTCCCCCGATCCTTCAAGTAGCCAGACCTCGATCTGCAACTTTAAAGCCCTGAATCCCTTTTCTCTTTGAGGGACTGCAATGCACTAAGCCCTGAATCCTAAACCCTAAACCCTTGAATCCCGTCAAAGCCCAAATTCTCCACCGGAGATACCGAAGACTCCAACCCTAATCCCTAAACCCAAAACTTCAAGGAGCTTCCAATGCACAGGTTCAGATTCCATCTGGCCATTCGGCCCCCCATACCACAGTAGTCCTTTTGCGCGGTCTTCTGGGGTGGTGACTTTGTTGTGCAAAGTCTTACCACAGGGTGTGATAGGCTTTACAGATTTCTACATCATTTCTTGGTCTAATGGCTTCTGTTTACACAGTTGAGGAACCTTGGAGAAGGCGCTTGGGGCAGGTCAAGTTCTTCACAGCATGGTAAACAGTGCGAGAATAGAATGCCTAGGTTCCTGAGTAGCCCCTGAATAATAAGGGTACCCTTTGTCCTACTGTTGGGTTTTTTAATCGGGAACCCAAGACGAACAAAGGGAAAAAGGGTACTACTCAAGAACCGAGACGCAGCCCTCAACAAGACAGGGCAGCTAGGTTCTGCTGACGAATGCAGACTCTACATGAACCCTAACTAACCCCTTTGCAGAACACAAAACTCAACGGAGATATCAACAAGGTTTCACAAACCTAATGTAGGTACCTGATTAAGAAACCTTGGGCCTTTATTATGGGTTCCTTATAAGAATCCCACTATCTTTGGGGTTATAGGCCAGGGTTTCTTAATCAGGTTGCTACGTTCACGGCAATCAAGGACACCCGAACCCTCCGAAGATAGTTGCACTCTTAACCCTGACCCGAAAGCACGATGTCGATGCCATCCCGATATGGAAGTTTCCGAAAATTAGGAGTACCTTTTGGGTTCTTATAATAAGGATCCTGCTAGTTTGAGTATTAGATTAGGGTCTCAGAAGTGCAGCCGAAGTCTCAGCCCGCGCAAGCCCAAACCCTGCAGACGTCGATACTTGCTTAAGCGGCATCGGCCTCTCTGGGACCTTTCAGGGATAGACCGCCGCCTTTAAGATAAACCCCGACAGTTGGTGTCGCCCAGCCCTATACCACAAGTCTGAAACTCGCGAACACAAACCCCGAAGCCCTAGAACCGGCAAGCTTAAAACAACGGCCTGAATACCTAAATCCTCCAGAACACAAACCCACGAGCTCCGCATCCCTAAACCCAAAACCCGTGCTATGGAGGCCTTATAGACACCTTACCTAGATGGATATTTGGGGGTGTCGTCCATTGAATTCTCAATGCTCAGCACAACTCCGGAGCCCTAAAGACCGCCGCCTGATCCTCGGGCTCAGCCATCTTCTTGGCTTCGGCTTCTGGGTACAAAGACCTGAATCGCTTGATTTTCCATGCATACTATTCCTGGAAATGCAGACACACACACAGACACACAGACACAGAGACACACAGACACACAGACACAGAGACACACAGACACACAGACACGCAGAGACACGCACACACACCACACACACACACGCACACACACACACATACACACACACACACACACACACACACACACACACTACCTTCACTTTCACTTGACTTGCGGCATACATACACTGACATACACGCATACATACAGCCATGCATACGGACAGACATGACAAGACAAGACGAAAACAAAGACAAGGACAAGACGAAATCAACACACACACAGACAAGACAAGGCGAGACAAGACGAAGACGAAAAAAAGGACAAGACGAAAACAAGACACAAACAGACCAGACAGGACAAGACAAGACCAGACAAAGACAAAGACAAAGAAAAGGACAACGGCAAAGACAACGACAAAGGCAAAGACAAGACGGACAGACAGACAAACAAACACACACGCACACACTTGAAACTCGGAATCCGAGATCTATGAGTGAAAATTCACTCAGACTTTTATCTGAGACTCAAGGGGAAAGCGATGGGAGGTCTTCAAGAGGCTCGGTTGTCTTATCATCCAAGAAGCGCCTGAAACTTGCGACCTGAGTAAATCCAATATGGGAGTTTCCGAACATTCGGGATACCTTAATTTGGGGTCCCTATCATATAGACACCTGCGACCTACGACGTAAGCTTCCAGGACCAAACAGCCTTGCACAGCGAGAGTATCATCAAAACGGCACCAGACAGCGTTTCGGATTTCCCAAAAGTCTCCGCCTCGATTCTTCGAGGGCGTCCTGTATAGGGGGGTCTGAGGGCAGCAAAACGCGGTCTGGAGCTTAGTAGGGAATGGGGGAATGGATCCCTATAGTAGTCCCTATATATTGACGATTCCCAAAGAATAGTTCCAATAACGCATTCCCTACTAAGGACCAAACAGTCTACTAACTAAGAACTCTAAACCCCTACAGTATAACCCCTATAGCTTCAGGAACCCCATTCCCTACTTAGCACCAGACAGAAAGCCTGCAAAAACCCAGAAAGGCGGCAGCTGGGACGCTGGCCGATAGATGAGAAATTTCAGGAGGATCATGACCCTCAAGAGCTCTACACCTCGGTGGGACTGAGACTGCTGTGGGGGGCGTTCAGTAATCGAATACGCCTCGGGCTCCATGTAAAGTCACATTAGTCACACTATAAGAGCCACTAGAAAAACAAGCTCTACACCTCTGATCATCGCTGCAGCAGAACAACAGCAACGGCAACATCAATAAGAACAATGAGAACCAAAATCCCACCACCGCCACAACCACAACGACAACCACATCACTGCGGCCTCACCACAAACAGCAACTAGAAGAAAGCAACCAAGAATAATAACATCTCCAGCTCGACTACTGCGCAGTGGCACTAGTAGCTACTCCTCCTGTTGCTGCCACTTTGCTCGCATTCCTGCCACGTGCTCGTTTGCCAACGCTGTTGCTAGGCCCGGCACATGCCACCGACCACATCAGCACCACGTAGTCGAAAAAGAACTCTGCAGCTTTGGGTACCCTGCCGTGCGCGGATGTCCCAAGGAATAGGTTTAGGCTTCGGGTTGACTGTTTTTCTTTTCTTTAGCCCTCTTTGCCTTCTGCCCAGGGCTGACTGCTTGGGGTTTAGGGTTTAGGGAATAATACCCAGAGACTCAGAGACTCCAGTACCAGTTGGCGACCGACACCTCCGGAACTTCTTGTAATCTAAGGGCCTGAACGTTCTTACTTAGGGGACGTCGAAGCAGGGACAAACCTGTCCAGGCGTGCATGTTTAAAAGCTGGATGTTAAGGCGCCGGTTTTCGAGGTATACTTCGCTCTAAGAAGCTATCTAGGGACTTTACGGGAACACTGTTACTCAGTAATCTGTCCCCTGCATTAGATAGAATACGCGGGGCTAATACTTGCAATAATCCCACAGCATCCATAGATTGAGTTGTTGAGCTTCTGCAGTTCGTGGCGATGTAGTGACGGTACAAGACCTTTTGAGCAGAAACTGCAGTATTAAGCAACTCTGCCCTCTTAACAAAAGCAGAACGCTTTATGGCAAATGCAGATTCAGATTAGAACACCTGAGGAAACCTCAACCACAAAGCCTTACCCCAATTCGAAATGAGACTCCCGAAAAGGAAGGGCCGCGCAATAGCAACAACAGGGTCTTGGGCTATATTGATATTATATTGCCGTATACTCATGTTCACGAACCCTACACAATGATACTGATAAGCCCTTAGCCAGCCTCCTTCTTCGGCTGTACTTTCGACTTCGGTGCTTACGACTCGGTTTAGGATTTAGGCTGGGTACTGCCCACAGACCTCAACAGTTTACAATAAGGCTACTTTTACGGGCCTCATACATCTATATTCAAGACATTCTTCAACTGTTACTGAGTGTGGGCAGTATTCAAGGCTTAGGAAAACTTGAGTTCTTAACGGCACAGGGCTATAGCACTTAGCGCGGATTCGCGCTTCCTCAGAATCGGGTTTCGGGTTCAGGGCCACTTTATAGTTGCATCTGGGCGACCTCGCTGCGACCAAGCCCAGGACTTGAGCAGGACTCTTGTACACTTGATGGGCGAAGTCCCTGAAGTTCGTGCCAATGATCGGCAGGAACAGAACGAAAAAGAGCAAGAATGCGAAGTACCTCGGACACCGCACCGCAATTTTGGAACATCAGTGAATAGCAACAAGCAGTCTTCCCGATGCCATGGACCTTTCAAGCGACACATCTGCATCCCTCAACTCTAAACTTGCTAGCTTCTAGACTTACAGCAGTAGAATTAGGATGTCCTTAAGGGGGGGTGGTCCAAGGGGGGTAGGTAACCTAGTAATCCCCATTATTCCCCAATACTCCCTAAGCTTCCCTAAGGTTCCCCAAAGCTCCCTAGTACCCTCCCCCCTTGAACCACCCCCCCTTAAGGATCCTATAATAGAAGCTGAACAAGCTCACCTTCAAGACGCCTGCTGCTACTGCGCCTCAACAAAAGAAACTACACAACGAAACCACAGTGGATTTTGTCTGCAACATGACGAGAAGTATTCATGCTTATGCCACTGTACAAGCTGTTTCTGGGTTCTTGTTCAGGAATTTAAGTTTAGCTACCCTTACAAAGAAACCATACGTTTTGATGTAGATCCCTACTCTGGTAACTTGAATTAAGCTCCTTAACAAGAACCCCAGGATTTGGGTGTCAAGGTCTCCAGAGTACACAACAGGAATCCTGAACCACTGAAGTTTCGCGGCTCATTGTGTGGCTTTAGCATAGCTTGGCTTAAGGTTTGAGGGTTTGGGGTACCAGTGCATGTGGATGAAGTGGAGCTGCAGAAAAGAGTGCACAGATGCAAAATCTCGCACCTTAGACGCGTAAATCAAATCCGGCCGTGCATTCTCCCTTAAGCTACCATAGCCTACCTGTTTATGGGTTCTTGTTCCAGACCCTAATGAAAACAATGAGGGACTCTCCAAAAACTATGTTTTAGTAGCTGAAGGTCGAGCTACACCGAACCAGCAAGCCCTCACCATGCAGCCAGATGATTCCCTCGAGCGTTTTGGCAGCTGAGCCTACTTGAACGATCGGGGGACTTGGTAAGTAGGGCCGTTATTTACGCATGACCCTAATTACACGTAATTTTAGCCCGACTACTAAGTCCCATGATCCTCCAAGTAAGCCTTAAAAGCCCCGAGCTAAACCCTGAAAAATGCACCCTGCAGTGGTGCGGGGCTTATGAGGGGATGCCGAGATCGGTGTGTGTGTGTGTGTGTGTATATATGCTTTTCTGGGTTCCTGTAAAAAGGATAGCATGTTCTCGTTCCTACGGGCAATATGCAGCACCTGTGGAGCGAGGCTGCAACGCTCTGAAGCGAACCCCTACACAAAACCAACACTCTTGGTTCCAGATCGCGAAACCCTAAACCTTTGGCCTTTGACCTGTTCAGGGTTGGGAGCTTCATGATCAAGTGTTTCTGGGCTGTTGGTTCGGGACTTGAATGCTTCTGCAAGCCTTGGAAAGAACATGCCTGAAGACCTCGTTATCAGCGGGACGGAGCGCCAGAATTGAAGGAGATGCTGCGCAGCTGTATCCGAACGAGGCAGGAAGCATGTATCAAAGATCAGCAGCAAAACCTTGCGGTGCAGAGCAGGCCCGTCAACGCTTTCGTTGTGCGGGGTTTCAAGGTTTGGGGTTCGGTTCTCACATTCGCAAAATAATGAGAATGATTCGCACTCGGCCCAACTTATCTGCACTGAGCTTAAAACTGTTAGGGTCTTTGCGGCTTGGCCGCAAGACCATCCGTCGACCAAAAGGCTTACGGCCCATGATTTTTCGGAGTGCAACATTGATGGAGGTTTGAATCATGAGTCTTAGTATCCACGTATGATCCCTATATCGTACGTAGTTCGGAATTTCACTAGTAACAGTAATATCTCCGTACAGCCCCTATTCTGTACCATACTCTTATGTACTTTTCTGGACAATCAGAACGGTACCCCTGCCTTTGATTCATGGTGTTACGGTCGCGGAGAAATGAAAATTCGAGCTATTACACACTCACAACATGCATCAAAGGATCGCTTCGAGATTTTAAACACCAGTCATGGTGATACGGCCGTAGGGGTCGTCCAATGTATATGTGAGCTATTCCACAATCACCGCATACTTGACCACATGCATCAAAAACACGTTTGGAGATTTTGGACACCATTCATGGCGTTACGGTCATGGGGTTGTCCGATGCATATGCGAGCTATTCCACGCTCACGACATGCATCAAAATCTCGTTTGGAGACCTTGGACACCATTCATGGTGTTACGGTCGTGGGGTCGTCCAACGTAAATGTGAGCTATTCCACCATTCACCACATGCATCAACAGCTCGTTAGGAGACTTCGACCACATGCATCACAGTTCGTTTGGAATGCATATGTGAGCTATTCCACACTCACCACAGGCATCAAAAGCTCGTCGGGAGATTTTGGACACCATTCATAGTGTTCCTGTCGCGGGGTGGTCCAATGTGAATGTGAGCTATTCCACACTCACCAGATGCATCAAAAGCTCGTTTGGAGGTTTTGGACACCATTCATGGTGTTACGGTCGTGGGGTTGTCCAACACATATGCGAGCTGTTCCACGCTCACCACATGCATCAAAATCTCGTTTGGACATCTTGGGCACCGTTCATTTTGTTACGGTCGTGCGGTCGTGCAATGTATATGTGACTTCATCAAAAGCTCCTTTGGAGATTTTGGACACCATTCATGGTGTTACGGTTGTGGTGTCGTCCAATTGTCTAAACCCTACATCCTGCGGAAGACCACCGGTCACCATGAAAACTTTGCCTCTAGATAGAGAGGCCACGAGGAGTTATGTAAAGAACACAGGGTGCTCAACTGCAACCCTAATCATGGGATGCATCAAAGAACAACAAGGCTAGTTCAACAAATCCGATACAAACCCTGTACGACCTCTGATGGCTTGAAAGGAAACTCTTAGGTTAAAAACCCTCTGCCCCTCTCTGCTTTTGTTTATGTATAGTTAGTTTATTTTTTTTTGAGGGCCCTTTTCCTCCCTGCTACATACGTGTAGTTTAGGGTTTCAGGTTTTTCTATTTTGCCCAGGTGCAGTCGGGAGCATGGCCAGAAAGACCTGGTCGTACTGGTGTTCACCCTACCACAGAGGCGTTTCTTTACTACCTCTACTGTTTTTTTTTTGGGGGTCCTTGTTGTAATTATCGTGTCATGGGCGCCACACCCTATTCTGATTATTAAGGCCCCTATATTACATGTTGAATATTCCGTACAAACTGTAGAAGGACCCTCAATATGAGTTCAGTTGTAGTCCTGTAGCGTCAACTTGCAAGGTTTTGGGCGTTGCAATGTAGACACCTGACTAATCGTAGAATGCCCTTTCCATACGAGCCAAGATATTTGATGCTGATTTTCATCCTAGTCCGGGGAGCGTGTCTTCAGGGTTGAGGGTCAAACGCTCCGTTCACGGGATTTCGGGGGAGCGGAAGCACTCGCACCAGGTCAAGGTATCGTGCAGCGCCAGTGGCCGTAAAACTCGTAAACCCGAAACTCTACATCCTGAAACCCGAAACGCGTGTACATGTCCAAGCCCTGCGGCCTCAAACTCCCAACGTGAAAGCTACAACAGTAAGCCCTACCCTCAGCATTGCAAACGAGTTAAAGAGATAGACGTTGCAGTATAGCCGGAGTTTAAAGAAGCGGAGAAACACGTTGCCACACTGTTGGGGTTGCCTATGATACGCTGATGGACACAAACACCGGCATCGCCTCACGCATTAGTCGAACGAAGTGATCTAATTCTGGTCTACCAGGGGCTACTGTTATGCAGATTCCTGGTTTACCACTGCTAAACACAATGTGTGGACAATTGTTCTTGTAGGTGGCATGGTCAAAAAAAGCAATTAACCCTGAACCCTAAAATCCTAAGCCCTAGACCCTAGTTTTCTCAAGCAAGGTCTGCATTACCCAGAGGCCCCCTAGTAGTTCCTTTCTGGAATAACCTTATAGAATTCGATATATGAACCCCAAAAAGTAACTACTTTGGGGCCGCTGGGTACGAATTATTCAGGCCCCTTGCATAAGCAAGCTCTACATTACGAAATAATAAGCATATATATATGTATATATATATATATATGTATATATTTATATATATCTATATATATATATATAGCATAAGATCAAAAACATACTTGATTCATGCCCCTTAGATAACACGCCCAGGCTCGGTCAGCCCTAGGGTGGGAGCGAAAGCTGACCAGAGCGGCTGGAAGGGGCCTGACGGGATGACACGATGGTGGTACGGTTGATGATATAAACCCCGCATGACCCATAATATGGAATATACCATAAGTCCCAAAAAATTCTACCCATAGTAAGAAATATATAGTATTTTCCTTATTATGGGTCATGCAGGATTTAGATCATCAACCGTAGCAGCACTTGGAGGTTCATGGGTAGCTCTAAGGGTTCCTTTAAGGGTCCCTTTAACGGGATCTATAGGGCTTCTATAAGGGAATAGGGTTTAGGGTCTACTTGGAGGTTCATGGGCAGCTGGCAGTCCCAACTCCTACTTAAAGAGGCTCATGGGTGGCTATAAGTGGGTTATGGTGTTTGTGTAATACGTTCTATAGGGTTTAGGGTTTAGGGGTTTAGGGGTTTAGGGTAGTTGTAAGTGGCGCTCTAAGTCCCCTAAAATGGGTCAGAATGATAGTTACCCTACTTATAACCCTGCTTATAACTACCCATGTAGGAGTAGCAGCAGGAGCAGGAGCAGGAGGAGGAGCAGAATTATTACCCATGTCCGAAAACTCGCTCTGACAAGGTTATTCAGAAGAGCGAATTCCCTGTGTCTATCTTCCGAGATTGCAAGCATGTCGGGTCAAGGCTGCAGGGATAATACAAGCGGCCGAGGAGCATACGGTTGATGATATAAATCCTGCATTACCCATAATAAGAAATATGCCATAATTCCCATAGTTTAGGGTCTAGTTTAGGGTCCTGAAGGTCATGCAGGATTTATATCATCAACCGTATGAACAGACAATTCTAAGGTAGTTTATGGCTATCACTCAACTGACAGGGTTTAGGGTCGTAGAGGCTCAGGGATTGTCAGATCGCCGGAGTTCAGGGCACGCGAAGACTGATTTCATTCAGGAATCATGTAGGCCCCCGGTTAATAAGCATCCTTGAATTGGAAGCCTTAGGATCCACAGATCCCGATTCTGCTCCCTCTAAAGGGGGGGAGGCATCTCCTTAGACTAGGGGTCTACTCCAGTCCGTAAGTTCTAGCAGGGGTCATGATGTAGAGACCCTTACTTGAGGCAGAAGCCCCAAACCCTAGACCCTTCCTCCCTCCCTTACTTGGAGGTTCATGGGTAGTTAGATGTGGGGTTGTAAGTCCCCTAATATGGGTTCTAATTATAATAACCCTACTTATATCCCTACTTATCTACCCATGAACCTCCAAGTAGCGTTTGGAGCCTAGGTCCAAGCTTTGTGCCAGGTTCGAGATGGCAACGCAGATGGGGGTGAAGCCCGCATAGAGAAAAGTGATGAGCAGGATGCCTTTCTGGGCTTGTTTTGTCTGGTTCTTAGTAGGGAATTGGGGAATGGGTTTGGGGCCTGTTATTGGGGATTATATAGGGACTACTGTAGGGATCCATTCCCCCATTCCCTACTAAGCACCAGACAGCTTTTAGGGCTTAGGGTTTGGGGAAATTTACGGTGCAGAGGGCTGTGCGTGCAGGTAGCGGTATCGGGTATCATTCAGTTGATCCAAGCTGTAAGGAGTTGCCCAAGACTGGTGACGGGAAGAACATGAAACCTTCATCTAAGAAGTGTCTACACGTGTCTACATTGTCTGTTGAGAGGAGCCCGGTTGCAGGATTGAGGGCTTGAGGCTTTAAGCTCAAACGCATGGCGCATAAGAAAATTACAAAACTATGGGTGGCATCTGCTTCTACGTCCCGCGAACCTAACTGAAGGGCTTCGCGTTCCCGTTTGGAGTGACGAGCCCTTATGCTGAGGACCCTTAAGTGTGGCATCTGGTCTTTTGAAGTCCCGGAATCTTCTGAACAATCAGACGCAACAGCAACATCAACCTGCGAAGGTCACCCGGCTTTGAACAACGGGTCGGGGGTGGGTATAATGTAGGAACCTGATTCAGAAACCCTGGGCCGATAACCCCCGAATAGTAGGATTCATATAAGGAGCCCTAATAAATGCCCGAGGTTCCTTAGTCAGGTTCCTAGACCAACAAAGATCCCAGTATGTGAGGCTTACAAAACTCCCAATCAAGGCGCCCGGATTTGATATGAGGACTGATTGCAAAACACGTACATTCCCGTAACCCCTAAACCTAAACCCGGAACTCTGCGCCCTATGCCTATGCCCGATTGCCTGAGCCTAAACTATAACCCTCGATTTGCCCAAACTAGCCCAAGCACCGCTCACCGTTCGCAGAACTGTGGGCTCCAGTGACAGCTTCCCCCAACGGATGGCGGAGGCTTCCGCGGCGTCAGTGATCACCCAATGTCCACCGTCCTCTGCGAAGGGTTCAATCATAAGGACCTTCAAAGTGGGGTAAGGGGGAGGGGGGTAGGGGACTATACTTCTTCAAATTGGAATTATTAAGTCCTTGTTTTTCCCCCCTACCCTCCCCAAGGGTCCCTGGGGTTGAAAGAATAGGGCTGATCACTCCGTCCTATGAAACATCTCCAGACGAAAGGGAGTCCGGTGCGAAGGTGCAGGAGCTTGTACAGGTTTTGTAAGGTGTTGGCAGGGCTGTATAAGGGTCTGAAGGGATTC